CACACACAGACAAACACACACACACACGCACACACACACACAGACAAACACACACACACACAGGTTTGAAATTATATCTTTGTGGGGACTCGCCATTCATTCTCCATTCAAGACTTCAATCCCAACATGACGACCGTAACCCAGCCCCAATCTTAACCATAAGTGACCAAACAAAATATGAGACTTTTGGCGTTTTTACTTTTTTGACTGCATTCACAGATTTTAATAAAACTGAGGTTATCAAAATGGCAAGCTGAAAAATGTCCCCAAAAGTAAGGAAGTTTCAAAGCCCCAAATGTAATGTAATCTATGCAACTCCCCCCCCCCCACTCTCACACACACAGACAATCACAGCAGCATGTCATGTATTCACCCATAAGCCTGTCCCTGCTATCACTCTACTTCAAGCCCAGGAAACCATTGTCTTTGCCTGCAAAACACTTGATCTTGGAGGGAACTAAGTGACCAATAACTGAAGATCGGAGAAAACAAAAGGTAGCACAGAAGTAAACAATAATTTTATAATATATCTTGAGCTTTGCTTGTATGTGTTTCTGTGTAAATGTGCATCTGTGCGTGTGTCTGCCTTTGTGTGTGTGTTTGCCTTTGTGTGTGTGTTCTACACCCCTGTGGGATCAATCCCCGCAGCCCTGATTGTGCCTGGGTTTTACCAGGGCTGCTGTTGTGACACGCTCATTACTGTGTGTATTTAATGTAAGTGCAGCCTTCAGCTGGTTGGCCAGACCCTTCCACCATTAATCATTCCTGCCTGCTCCTGCTGAGTGCTGCAGGGTTTGGGGATAGTGCCGGGGCCGGCGGCTCTGGCGTCTCTCACACCATCATTCATTCACTCCTTCGCATTCTGCTTTTCGGGGGTCTTGATTCACACTTTAAATTCACATAAAACCCTGAGATGTCATCTGTGGAAGGAACTCTCTGCCTCCATCTGACTGCCTCTATAGCATTAAAGAGTGTATTTTGCATTGTATATATATTTATTTATTTTACAATGCAGGCCATCTTAGTTTATATATAAAATGATTTCTTAATGCAGTGCACTCAAAACAATCATCTTAAGACATGAGAAGAAATTTTTGAATCAGTGGTATGAGCACTTTGCCAAAAAAGTACTTTGGAGTTGGCGGGTAAAAATGACTTGATATGTACCCAGAAGCAAATTCAGATCAGTCTCTGTGGGTATAATTTAAACATTCCATACCCCATGTGCAGTTCATATGACACGGACATTTGAACTCCAAGCCATCAGGCCACAATTCCTGCTGCTAATACTTGTCTCTTATCTTAAGAAGACTTGGGGTTTATGCTGCATCTAGCCTGAGCAGGCAGAGAGTGCCAATGCATGGTTATTCCACACACTATGTCTCTCGTGCCTTGTCTTTCTCACCACCACGTTTTGGTTGCTCCATTAAGAAAATCAAGTTTGTGTGTCAGGATCATGAGTTTGTTTGTTTGAGATCAGGCAAAATGCTCCACACATTTCTTTTAGGATATAAAAGACTTGAGCTGGTCTACAAAAGGAGTATCTGTGTGGGTGTGTCTGTGTGTGTGTGTGGGCGGGGGGTACAGTGCCCCCACAATGTGATAAAAACCTGTTATTATGACCTTGTAGGGACATTTTCTGGTTCATGACCTGGGTAAATGTATTTATTTGTGTGTTCGTCCTGCCCCTGGAATGGTAACCGAGGTATGAAGCATTGCTTTGCCCAGTTTAGTCACTATCTATTCTACAGATGCACAGTAAACCCTAAGGGTATGAGTGAGGAAATAGTGAAACAACACGTAAGCCAACACATTTCCTGGTAGCACTAGCCCCAGTAACCCCCAGTAACCCCCAGAAGACAAATTCAGAATGTTTCATAGTTTGGCTGGAAGCTAATATTATTTACGAGACCCTGTCATTATTGGGAGGAGGTGGGGGATAATAATTACTATTATACATATGTGGGCCCTTTAATTTAGATTTACCAAAGATTGGTAGAAAATGTCTTAAACATGGTTCAGCAATATGACAGCCTTTGATAGGGTGTTGTGGGATTGCACCTTCTTTCAAAACCGCCATCTATTGGCTGGGTTTTGATGTGGTATTTCAGTCAAGGGGCATCAGCGATATTATTGCCTTTAATCTAAAGTACAGCACAGTGAAAATGGCCTCTAGCGGTCAGGTCTAGCCACTAGCTAAGTAAACATTGTTCTTGCTTTTGGGCTTAATTCAGTTTGGCGGTAAAACATGGAGGAGACTGTCTAACAAATGCTATTCCATTTTTCAACAGGCACTCACCAGGCAACCCACCCAGCCCTCAAAAGACCCCTCCTCTATAAGCGAAGACTCAGTACCTGCCTCAAATGCAAGCTCAGGAATTAAAGAAGGGGTACAGGCCGGAGCGGGTGGACCCAAGAAGCCCCGTCTGAGGACCAAGATCTCTCTGGAGTCACTAGGTATTCTGCAGAGCTTCATCCAGGACGTGGGTCTGTACCCTGACCAAGAGGCCGTCCATACACTGTCCGCACAGCTGGACTTGCCCAAACACACTGTTGTCAAGTTCTTCCAAAACCAGCGCTACTACGTGAAGCACCACGGTAAACTGACAGAGCTTGGTGACGCAGCCGGGGACGTCTCAGAATACCGCGACGAGGAGCTTCCCTCGGGCTCTGAGGATGCCGAGTCCATCGAGGAGAGCAACCACGAAGGGGAGCGTTTCGTCTCAGAGACAAGGAGTGGCCCCAGTGATGCCAAGGAGCGAGCCCAGATCCTGACTGCCAGCCCAGGAGGAAATCCCCCCAGCCCCCAGGACACTGGAGAACACCAGAGATAATTCAGCAAGAACAAAAACAGAGAGGGGGGTGCAGAGGGAATGAAGGGGTGAAATGTGGACCACAACAGTGAATAGCTGAGAGGGGGGGGCAGTGGTTAGCTGAGAAAAGAGAAATGCATCCAAGAGTCTGGTAAAAGGCCATGATAGACCAGGGTAGAGCAGGGGGAGCTTAAGGAAGCTAAAGCGGAGCTAGAGGGAAAATGCAATGAAAACACAATGTAATACCTCAGAAGTAAGGAGGATGGGTATGTGTATGTGCGTCTAAGAGGGAGCTCTGTCCTGTAACACTGTTCTTAGTATATACATTTTGAAAGGTGGGTTTTCCCAATAGGGGCCTACTGAACTGAGTCAGTGGCTGGGTCACCTGCTATCTCAGCAGTCAGTGGCGTATCTCCTTTGGCTGCTCCCTCCCAATGCCCTGCATGTGCCCATGTGGAGATTGCCAAAAGTCAGCTGCTATTTTGCCTGATTACAAGGGACTAAGCTGAAGATGACAGCGGGAACCATCCATCCAGACATCCAAAGCCAAGACGGCAGGGCCTGTAAGAGGCTGAGAGCAGTTGTCCCTCTGGCTGTGGATCCTACGCGGCCGTCGGGAGTCCCTGACTGTGGCTGTCTCGGGGTTTATACACAGTATATTTTGGAGTCACTGTGATGGTTGATATCAACGTTTCTTCAAACAAATGTGGTTTGCTGACATCTTGAAGATGTCAGTCAACCTCCAGCCCATTTCCGGCCTTCTCTAAATTGGTTACATTCCCCATCACCACTTCCCCCACCAGCCTGTGGGGGTGGGAGAGAAGTTCAATGCTGAGCTGAAACCCCCCTTCAGCAGGAACCCCTCACATTCTGCACTTTAAAAGAAACCCGGGCGATGCAGCCGCCTTCCCCGGTTGTTCTCTGTTAATTTTCATCACAAGGGAGACAGAAATCCATATGTTGTCATCTGGAACATTCTCTGCACCCTTTTTCCATCACTGTTAACACAGCTCCAGTCTCTCTGCACCAAACAACAAACAGGATGGCAGTTTCAGATACTGGCACCTGAGGACCACAAAAGAGACAGAGACCTACGTGCCAGTCACATGACCTTTGTGTGCATTCCCGGGTTCTATTTGTTTGTGTTTGTCTTTGCAGGTCTTTACCTGTAGTACAGGCCAGGATGGAGGAAATACAGTGTGTTTAATGACAAAATGCTGATGCAAAAATCAGGGACATAAAAATGATAAAAAGTCAAAATACATCCATATATTAATGTTTAAACCTTTCCATAACTGAATAGAGATTCCCATATTTGTGGTAACAGGAAGTAAATGGCCTTCTGTCATTATCTCTGATTGGATTGGCACTCCTTATTCCAATGGACACCATGAAGTTAATTTCACACCCTATTTATTGTTCCCATTATCCATAGGTAATAGTGTTAGTGTCAATATCGTTATCATCTTTGTTTTTTCATTGTGTTACTGTTGTTTTTGTTTGCCTGATGTCAATTTTTAACAGGTGGCAGTTGCTCTGGAAATAATATAATGAGAAATTGCCAAAATTAAGTATGAAAGAGAAGTAGTTACTGAAGTCATGAAATACTGCAGTATTATTTGCATCATCTTTTATAAGGGGACGATTCCAAGTAAAAAGCAACTGGGCATAATTGGAGCAGAACCTTCTAGGCTTCTAAGATTGATATTTAGTTTGGATTATTGAACCTTTAATGATAATGTCCAGCTTCAGTAGAGGGGTACATTGTCTTTTTTCCATGATTCCAGCTATACTTTTCACATGATTCAGTCATGTCAGAGAGGGTCATGTAGAGCGAGGGCCTAGTGCTCTTTCAGGGGAAGCATATCAGAGAGGGTCATGTAGAGCGTAGGCCTAGTGCTCTTTCAGGGGAAGCATGTCAGAGAGGGTCATGTAGGGCTTGGGCCCAGTGCTCTTTCAGGGGAAGCATGTCAGAGAGGGTCATGTAGAGCGAGGGTCTAGTGCTCTTTCAGGGGAAGCATATCAGAGAGGGTCATGTAGAGCGTGGGCCCAGTGCTCTTTCAGGGGAAGCATATCAGAGTGGGTCATGTAGAGCGTGGGCCCAGTGCTCTTTCAGGGGAAGCATATCAGAGAGGGTCATGTAGAGCGAGGGCCCAGTGCTCTTTCAGGGAAATTTCCTGATCTATGGCCAGATGTGTGAAATGATATGGGGCCTCAGGCCAGGTCCACCCAGCACACTTGGGTCCACCTTCTTGATGTGATCCTTTGGATTTAAACCTGTGAAGTGCATGTTTCTTTTTGTTTATTTTGCTGAATTGCTTTTAACATGCAACTGTAAGAACAGGGTGGAGTTATGTGGCCTCTCAGGAAGTGAGTATATAACGAGTGTTAGACAGCTTGGTACATGTACACATGCGGACACACATGTACACACATAGACACACGCGGACACACATGTACACACATAGACACACACGGACACACATGTACACACATAGGCACACACGGACACACATGTACACACATAGACACATGCGGACACACATAGACACACACGGACACACATGTACACACATAGACACACGTGGACACACATGTACACACAAAGACACACGCGGACACACATGTACACACATAGACACACGCGGACACATAGCAACATTTTGTTTCCACACACTCCTTAAGAATTTCAAAATTCAGTTCATCCATGACCATTGAAGTGACATTTGAGACATTTTTAGGGCAAGTGACTCATTCTCAGGTAGCAATACATGATGACTCCACCAAACATATGAAGTTTAATTGCAACGATTAATAGTTTCAGTATGTACTCTTTAAAAATTTTCTTATGGAAAGATAAAATAAATACAAAGATAAAGCTGCTCCATCATTTGCCAGCTTGACAACATAATACTTTTACCATTCTAATTGTCAGTTTCTATCACATTCATCATCTTATAGTCATTATCATCACTGAAAATCAGTTCTCCTTCCCATTTCAGTCAGCTTCTTCTTTCTTATCACTAAGTGACACTTTTTAAAACTTACATGCATTGTTAAGTTCATAGACATGGTTTGATTCTTTACATTTTTCAAATTGTTTAAATAAAATGCTGTTGGCCCGGTGTTTGTGTTACTCATTAGGCTCTGCTTGGATTTGCATATGTGTTACTTTGAATGAATAAAAGTGTTTAAGGAGCTAAATAGCTAAACAAAGACAGAAGCTGAACCTGTAGTAACCCAGCGGGTCCTTTGTTTGGGGTGTGAGATATTTGGACAGTTACATGTCCTGCTGTCTGGGTGTGTGAAAATAGTCTAAAGATGTTTCTTCTTGTTTCTGCTCTGTGGCACGTGCATTTCTTAGCCGGGTGTGCTGCCTGTGTTTGCCGGGCAGGATGCAGCTCGACTATGGGCCAGAGGAGTAGGTTGACACAGTTCATGCACCACATCCCGTGTGAATCCAAATGATCACCATAATTGAGTTATGGTTGCTGCGCAGGTCCAAAGCAACTCCCTGACTGAACCTGCTGGTAAATGGCTCTAGGGGCCCAGAGTTTTGGGAATGTAGTGCATTAGCAGAGCAATAGGAATGAAACAGTCAATTGACAAGTTCCTGTGGAGGGCATTTTTGGGACTGGATTCATGTAATGCTTCTAAACAGACCACACACAAACTAACCAGACAGGGTAGTTACTGACTTTTGTTTAGATCTGAAAGTGCTTTACCTAAACACCAGTGTGAAAAACGTGACACAGAGACAGTGAACAGAACTACACGACACAGGGACTGTGAACAGAACCACATGACACAGGGACAGTGAATAGAACCACATGACACAGGGGCAGTGAACGGAACCACAGGACGTAGGGGCTATAAAGAGAACCTCAGGACACAGGGACAGTGAACAGAACCACATGACACAGGGACAGTGAACAGAACCACAGGACACAGGGGCAGTGAACAGAACCACATGACACAGGGACAGTGAACAGAACTGCAAGAGATGAGGACAGAAAACAGAATCACACAACATAGGGACAGTGAATAGAACCACGTGACAAAGGGACAGTGAACAGAACCACAGGACACAAGGGCTGTAAACAGAAACTCAGCACACAGGGACACCGAATAGAACCACACAATACAGGGACTGTAAACAAAACTTTAGGACACAGGGGCTATAAACAGAACGTCAAGACACAGGGACAATGAACAGAACCACAGGACACAGGGACAGGACGTGGATGAAATGGTTTCATATGGTATGTGCTTCTCTTTTTTTTAGCTTTACAGGGATTAGGCAGAGATGGGGTCAACACATCTGAGCAGTGGAGAACATGGAAATCAAAAACAGTTATTACAATACTCCTCAAACATACCTTAACCTGCTAATTACTAGGTTTATCAGGTGTGTTTTATTCTGGCCCTCCTGCACTGAAATTGGGGAACACTAGATTATATCTTTTAGAGTGAATGAGGTACAGGTGGAGTTGACTGGAACGGACTCATGGCTGCTTGACTCCTAGATGCCAACTCTCTCAACCAAATAACAATTTTTATTTAAAAACTATTATCAAAATCTCTAGGTGCAAGTGAACATCTATATATCATCCAGACAATACATACATTTGATTTCAAATACAGAGCATCAAGAAGAAACAACAGAAATACAATATACTTCATAGCATGACAGCACTGCCTGATTTCTGAGCCATTGTGTGCACTGGTGGACTCAGAAAGGCCAAAGTGACAGAGTAATCGCTCCGTCTTCCATAACTGCTCATCGAGTAAAAGGTGGTGATGTGAAGCAATGAAGCAAATTGAATGAAGCCATTTTTCTACAGAAATACGTAAAGCCTCCAATGGTTTGAATTAGCAACTTGCCTCTTAAGATAATAGAATCCAGGCAGCAGGTAACTGTCACCCTATCATTTACATAAGATTATCCAGCTTTAGCCAATTACTAAGTATGATTTAGTAACACTATCTCTGAATATATACTGAGTTATTCTTCTTACGATGTTCTTATCACCCCTAATGCTGCTACCAGAACTCTGCCCCCCTTACCCCACCTCCTGTCTCTTTTTCTTCTCTCCCACCCACTTTCCCAGCAAATATCTTCTGTTTACAATTAGCAGACCACAAACGACTACAAGTCGGGGGCTCTGGGGGGCCCATGTGGCCGTGTGGACAGAGCTGTGAGCCGGGCGGCAGGCTCTGTGTCTGGGCCGCAGCCTGTGAGCCGGGCCCCTCCGCCTGGGTGGCGTCATCTGCTCCCTCATGCAGGTCTTTGTTTGTTTTCAGGCGGACACACCGCCCACTTACTCCTGCTGTGACTCCTAACGACAGCCGCGACCACCTGCTGTGACTCCTAACGAACAGCCGCGACCACCTCATTCTGCCTGTGGGCCATTCTGTTGTATGTTTAAGGGGACCTGCTCTTAATATAGAGTGTGTTATGCAAAACATTCCAAATTTTTTCCAATATCTACACGTTTTAATCTCTTCCTTACTTCTTCCCTTAATAAAAGCTTTGAGGGACTGCTTCTGCTGTTTCGGAGTCATCACATCTTAAGCTTCAAAAACTTCCAGAAACTTTCAGACTCCACGGGCTCGTGTACATTTCCAATTCCGATGTCAGATTTCATAGATTTTGTTATATTTGGATTGTTGTGTATAAACACGCAAACCTTTGGCTAAATGAAGAGGCTGACTGCAGCCTGTTTCAGCACTGGGCTAATGTTAACCACGTTTTCTTGGAAGCACTGATCCTCATCTGACTTCAACCATAATGAATACTCCATAAAGTTACACCACTCTATATACTGTATAATGGGTCAATAATGCGCAAATTATTTATTTTTCATATCAAAATGATATTTATTAGAGGCCATTTTGAAAGGCTGACATATGATGCAAAGACTTTAGTTCAAATTTAACCTCAAATGGCCCTTTTATATTACTCTTTATATTTTATATTTTAATTACTATTTATATTTTATATACTGTTATATATATATATATATATATATATATATATATATATATATATATATATACACACACACACACACTGAATACCAAACTGAAAGTGTAAATTGAGAGGTTCCAGGTTACACATAAGCAAATTCAAGCCTGAATACGACATTACTCTGCTGTTTAAGTGATGAATTTGTGAAGTTCTGATCTGTAAAAATAAAGCAATGTGGTCATATTTGGCAATGAAAGTGTACAAGAAAAGGCAGCCAGCGTTCTTCATTTCGGAAATAGATGTCCAAATCATTCCTTGAAAACCATATTCCTACATTACTTAAGGTTAAATGTCTACCTTTCTGCCAAAGTATAAACTTTTGCCATTCACACCACGCTACGCACACTTGCTGCACCCAAAATGATGTTGCCCAGAAAAGATGGCAATTAAAATTCCATCAGTTTTAATCTTTGTTTCATTTGTCATTAAGTTAATGGCTCTAGCTTATGGTGAAGCGCCTTCTAAACTATAAAAGCGCCAAGAAACAGCTTATAAGGCTCAGCTTCCATTAGTCTTGGCAGGTGTATTCTTACCTTGGAGCTGTTGCTACAGATGAAATACATTCTATATGACAGAGAACTTGATACAAAACTGCACAAACTATCCCCTGTAGAGAAAATAGTGTAATTTAATGACTAGCACAACTGAGACAGTTGTGATTATGAACAGTTACATAATTTACATATTTAAAGCAGGGCTGGTGTTTGGCTCTGCAGGTTAGGAATGTCACTGGATCATGATTGGCTGAGTAATGTCACTGCCGGGACCTTGAGCAAGGTCCTTAACCTCATGGCTGATCCTATTTTCTCAGTTGCATGTCACTTTGGGAAAAAAGTGTTGTGGGTTTGAACCAATCAGCATGGCCTGTGAAAAGCCTTGGCAGCCAATTGCACTTCTGTCCAGTATTTCTTCAGGGATCTCAACAGAATGCTATTCTTAAGTGTAATTAGCAGTAATATTTTACATTGGGGTGGTTTGACTCTCCAGAAGAAAGGTGATAAAATGGCTTTAACTGAGTCACAGAAATCTTGTGCTTGTTGGATGGTGTTTCTGACATTTTGCTGGTAAACCTTGGCTCTTAGATAGCATCAGTAATGAGACGCAATGCTGAAGGTTTAAGTGTTTACCTTAATTCAAAATGAAACGTTTTACCCATTCAACTAAATCTAAAGATCATCTCTTCTTCCATTTTTTCTCTTGAGTTGCCTTATTCTCATGGACATCATGAGATTTTGCTTTGGTCTAGATCTTAATATCAAAAAGTTGCTGCCATGGCTCTAGGAAAAAAAACCTGTGAATTTATGGGACAATAACCAAGATGCTTAATAATATAATTTCCCCATTTTCTTTTTTGACCACAATGACTGATTTATTTTAACTAACTAAACTTGTTTTCTGCCAGACATGAGGTAATACATTCCCACTGGAAAAAATTTGACATAAGATATGTATCTGCAGGCATTGGTTTGGCTGTCGCTACCCTCTCT